CGGCGGTGGGGGGGAAGAAACGGCGACCGGGCACTACTGTAGAAGCGAGTAGGGCGGCCGAGGCAGCATTTGTGGCGAACTACGTACCCGGCTGATGTTGTTGCGCCCTGTTTCCCTCCCTGCTGCATGTTAAACTCCTTTATGTATGTCCTTTTCATTGCCTTCGGCCTCTGTGCTGTGTCTCTTTTTTCATGACCTCCCTGCCTACTCTGCTGTGTTGGGTACCTTGATCTCGCTTTGCTGTTGCCTTTGTTTTTGTACGTCTGGGTGTCTGCCCATCTGCCGCCTCTTTGTCCTGTTTGCTCTGTTACTCCCATGCCCTGGTGCGCAGTGCCTGGTGCTGGTACGTTACCCTTTGATTTTTTCTTTGGGCGGGTGTGGGAAGCGTCCTCCTGTATTTTTGTTTTTGTCTTTTTTTGATCGGTGTCCAAGGGCTCTTTTCTCGAACGGTCGGTGCGATGCCTGTTCTTTTCTTTCTATCATTTTGTTTTCTTTTTCCGACTGGTTTGTACCCTATTTTTGTTTGTTTCCCCGCGGCGTTGTATGTGCCGGGTTTGGAGACCACGGGCTCCCCATTTTTTGTGGACTATAGAGCTAATGTGGGAAACAACAACAACAAACCTGACGCATCAGCCGGGGTTCACACATTTGGCAAACGTAATAAAACCGGTATGCTGTTTCTCTTAGGGTAAAAATCAACGTTAGGCATGCCCCTCTGCAAAATGTCTTGCGTCTGGTTGAGCTCACAAGCGAGGAAAAAACATGACTCACGAACCTCCCCCCGAGTAACCATCAACCAACAACTCCAACGACGCACAACGGCAGTACCTCAACAGATATGTTTCGCTCTTCCAATCACTCCTCCCGTCGCGTGAACGGTGCCCTCGCTGCATGTCATTACTTCGGAGAGAGGAAGTAGTCTGCGACGCATCCCTTCCCCGCGTGTACTGTACGGTCATCGGTGCTTGGCCGCAGCAGGTGTCGCGGCTTTTCTCTTCACGACAACCGGTGAGACCCAGAGGCTAGCAAGGATCGCGAGGTGGCACACCTGTCCAAAAGGGCGGGAAAGCAGCAATGTACCGTGTTCGAAATAAAATATCAATCCGGTTGAACCCGGAAGAAAAAAAATTCTTGTCCATCTTCTCCGGTGACGATATTCACAAGGGTATTTATAATGTAGTACTGCTGCCGTGAGCATACTGCGGCAAAAACCACCGATAGGCAGAAGACTCTGCGAGGGCTCGAGCGTTCGAGCCACCCTACCAATTCCGCCGCACTCACGCACGCACAGGACAGCCTGATCACTTCGGCTTCACTACAAACCATGACCTAGCGCGTACGTGTGCTACATACCGTAGAAGCACCAATGACAGCTCAAGGGCTGTACGGAAGTGTTCACGACACAGCCTGCATGCATGCAAAGGCTTTTCGAGAGCAAGCTACGTAGCTCTACCATTCATCAAGACTCGCCCCCAACGCACGCTACTCCATGTGGCTTTGGCAGGGGCGTTCAAGCCAACCCACCTGTAGCACACCAGAAGACAACGCGGTAGCGGGGAAGACATTGAAGCCGAACTCCACACCCCAGAGCACCACCAGGCGAAGGGCCACCGGGAGACCCGTTTGCCACAGGAGAAAAGGGAGCGTGTGGAAGTACCACGAGTAGAACTGCGACATGGGAAAGAGCGAACAGCGCCGAAAAAGAACACGACAAAGAACAAATCCGACGAGATATCATGTACCCCAAGCATAAAAAAGAGCTCGCGACACATTTGAAACGTCTCAAAGCTTCGGTTCGCCGGGCCGGATGGTTGGGCCCCATCACACGGCGTTTCGAATCGGCGCCCCTTCCCCCCGCCGAAACTATTAATTTCGAAAGAAACGGAGATCGCCAAAGTTGGCGAGTTTTTTATGTGAAAAAACCTGAGGGCGGAGCGTCTGCTGCGAAGCTCCTCCGTCCTCACCTGATAGTGCAGGCTACGGCAGAACACGATCCCGATGAAGTTTGACACGAAGAGAGTCTTGACGACGTACTCCGGGTGGAGACGCGCATTCACGGTGCCCCCAGTAGCCCCACCCCCTCCCTCTCCGGCACGCAGATTGCTGGCCGAGAAGGCTTTGACTTCTCGCGCGGACCGCAACCACTTTGATGCAAAGAGGGCCAGCGCTACTAGGGTGAGGATGAGCAGAGTTATCGACAGTCCGGGGCTCACGAAAGCTTCCTCCGTCACGAACTTGAAGTTAACAGTCCACTCAAACTTGAAGACGCGGCCGAGCTCGAACGACCGGGACAGGTATGCCACGGGGTGATGCAGCAGGAACGGTGCTCCAAGGAGAAGCTGCCGGGCAGAAGCAAGCGAAGACGCAAGGGCACCGAGCGTGACAACCAGCGGGTGGCGATCGTACGGCTTTGCAATTGACGTGGGGAGAGTGCAGAAGTGGGCCGTGTGTTTTTGTGTGTGTGTGTTTTGCCGTCTCATCTGGTCTGAGTGCCACCTCTAATACCTTCCGGTGCATATATCAAGCACCAACCTGGGGAATACAGGAGGACGGTAACACAGAGGATTGTTGTTTTTTTCGGCGCACAGAACGAAAAACCCTTGAAAAAATGCTTGTTCTGACCTCTCCAGATGAAACATCTGAGGTGTCATCACCGTGTCCAGCCTCTGGGCCGAGATGACTTTGACAATTACCGGAGACAAATTTCGAACTGACATGTCAGGCCATGCGCAAGAAAGTCTCGGCCATGGATTGCCGCACCAACACGAGCGATTGCCGCATGTACCACCCGCCCACCCCCACACGCACCTGCACCACGGCGCAAATGGAAAGGCAAACCGCGGCGCCCCCAACCCCGTTCGCCTGCACAAGGAGCAGCAGCAACCCTGGCGCGAAGAGCAGAATGTTCATCTTTACGCCCACGGCCAAGCTGTAGCTCACGCAGCCCAGACGCCACCTGTAGGCAACGAACCGGGCACGGACGGGAGGTGCTTACCGCTAGCGGCGAGCTTTCTCGACGGAGAGCCGCAGGCAAGGCAATCAAGGTTGAATGAAATTTTTTCGCTAGCCTCGCGTGAGCGTCTCATATGCGCCTGTACAAACTGGGAAACTAGTCGTGCCGCTAACAAAGTCGAGGTCGAGGAGGCATCTACCTGTTGAGGAGAAAGAGGTACACCGCCCCATACAGGAGCCACATCGCCACACCATCGTTGAACAGCCGGAGCACGAAGATGGAATGGACCCTGCCGTGAGGAAGACCGAGAACGAGAAAAAACTGGGACACTTGAAATATTGTGCGCCAATCAGGTTCAGCGTGATGTTCTTTTGCGACTGCGTAAGCCTTGTAAATGGCTTGAGACCCACTTGCGATTCAAGCAAAAGCGCGCCGTTGGCACACACTGCTGTCACCAGTCGTGGTCAAGAATTACTGGGACGACACACAAACTAAATATCCGACTGAAGGGCCGAAGTATCGTCATTGACCCGCCTGTTAGCGCGGTCGATACCAGTTCAAGAAGCTATAACACGTCGATAGATGAACATCCTCAGCCGTTCTGGCGACCCCTACGCGGCTCACAACTGAAGCTGCCATCGCTGGCTCCCAGGCATGTAGCACTCGCACCTCCTAGATGTGCATACGAGAAGAATCGACCAGAGAGGCATCGCACCGCTTCCCGCCTTGCGGTAGACGGACAACACCATCACCATGAGAGACACGTACACGCCCATGAAAATGTATTGAGCGGTGAAAATGTCTTCACCGCGGTCCGTCACCCAGTACAACAACTGCAGCGCAAAGGGAGCCAAAGCAAGGCAGGCAGAGCGGCAGACGAACAGAGAGACATAGGCATGATGTGCATGTTGAGTGGAATCTCGCAGATTCATGCTCCTGATGCTGCTGCTGCTACGGCGGCTGTTGTTGGGTCGTGTTGTGTGCAATGATTTGCGCGTGTTATGCGCGTCTCATTGTTATGGCTCTCGATGTACCGCTCTCGTGCATGCTGCAAACAACGGAGAGGCTTGGGGGAAAAACATGTACGCGAATTCCGATCTCGATTGGTTTGATCACAATGTTCAGACCTCCTTGAGAACACAACCCACAGATATCGGATGCTACGCTAGTACGCTGAATTCCGAATTCCTCCCGCTCTCACCGAGTAGGCGTACACAAATCCCGCCGGATACACGAGAGGACCTGTGTCTCCCCGGAGGTTCAGGTAATTCCTTTCTCCGTCAAGAAAGCCCTTGACTTCTTGCATGTACGCCACCCAGTCGATTTCTGTGTCTTTGCGGATCGATCCGAGAACAGACGGTGCACCATGGAACGGAAAAGAGAGGAGCGACACATTCAGCGAACACACGGCATGGATCACAATATTCGACAGACAAAGCCTCGCTTTACACCTACTTGCTGTCGGTCGCAGAAGATACCACCCCACCTTTGGACCGATTTTCAAAGCTCGACTACTGCACGATGGAGACGATGCCAAACCAATCGACGAGTTTTCGGAAAACCCTCGACGAAACCGTTCAATGCCGCCAACTTCCTCACTAGCTGTGTCTGCTGAGAAAGAGTGACCGAGCTTTAAAAATCGGTCCAAAAAAAATAAAATAGATGGCACAAAAAGCTCACAGGGGGCGTGGTATCTTACGCCACACAAAAAGGCTGCAATACCGTATTCTACACAAGATACCACACCCCGGTGATAACATTTTGGGCTTCAAAAATATTATCACCGGGTGTGGTATTGTGGGGGGGGGTGTGGTATCTTGTGTACCCCGGTGATAAAGCCTAGCTCGCAGGAGCTCCTCAGGGGGTGTGATAAACCAGGGGGTGTGGTAGCACATGCGACCACCCACAGGGAGGGTTTGGGAGTGGGATAAAAAAGGGGGTGTGATAAAATGGGGTGTGATAACACGTCGGAACACCCAAAGAGTGTGTTCGGGTGTGTGATAAACAGGGGGTGTGCCGCTTGCGTAGAAGTCTGCTCGGGTTGAAAGAACGAGGTGATCTGTGTCGCCTGTGCTACTGCGGTCGAAGCAGTCGTGGGAGAAGCAGATGTACTTGCGGCGGCATTCTGCTCTTCCCGCACGTTCATGTTCTCTGAGGTCTCCATGTCTCCCCCCGTACGGTACAAGCTGTGCGTGTGTGATGCTGTTTCACCCCCGGTGATAGAGACAGGGAATGTATGCGGCGTAACCTGTGTTATCACCGGGGTGTGGTATCTTGTGTACCCCCGGTGATAAATCATGGTCTGAAAAATACACCCAAAATTACCACCGGGGTGTGGTATTGTGGGGGGGGTGTGGTATCTTATGAGGGTGTGGTATCTTGTGTAGAATACGGTACACCCCGGCGTCGTGACATGGGCAGGGAACGGTAGAGAATGACAGGCAGAAAGCTCTCTCACATGCAACACGCGCGATGATAATCCCGCACAAGGCTATCTCCGCGAGCACGGCACCAGCGAGTGCAAGCGAGACTAACCCGCCGTCTCCTCTTGCATCGCTCCGAGCCGGAGAGGTCGTGGCAACCCGCAGCAACCGATTGGCAGTGCTGAACATGGTCGCTCAGAGAACTGCAAGCCCGTGTAGCGCTGCTTGCAGCTGTGAGTAGGGAGACGTTCGCTGCATACACTGATTAGCTCCTCACTAGGAGAGCACCGGGACGTGGGTGCGGGTATTTGGTGTCCGGATGTCCGGATTGAGGGAACCAGGGAGTTGAACGATTGAGTCGCGAGGCGGGTTTTTGGTTCGGGCGAGGGTACGATAACCTCCCGTGTCTCCCCCTCCTTGGCTCTCCTGTCGCATGCATGTCAGACGGGCTGTGCGAGGCTTGCACCTGGCGCCATAAAGGCTACCATGGAGGAAGAGAACATTATCATGATCAGGGGCTTCCCCGTCTCCTTTCCAAAGGTATGAAACACACGCCATTGCGAGCTTGGTGTTGTTGATTACAATGGCAGCTCAATCTCTATCTTGTAATACCACTCCTGCACATCCTGCTGTGCCCACGCGAAGGGCAGACCTGTCCTTGGTCCCGTCTGCTGCTTCTTGAGAGAAGTGGACAGCAATGAAAACGGTGCAGTAGTTGTGGTGCATGAGCGCCGGGCTGTATCGGCCTTCAAGCAACCACCCCGCCGTATGTGGTGGGCAGCTGTTTCAGATCCGTTAGAGACTTGTACATACCATTTGAAATTCAAAATCATGGGAGAAAAAATGTTGATATGCATTGGCTTCGTTATCTCGATCCTATTGGATACTGAATACTGCTCTATACCAGGTACTTCGTTTGCCATGCACCACCAATGATGAACATTCGTTCATGATCAATCCAACAATCCTGGCTCAATCCCAGGACTGCCGCCATACCTCATAGAGGAACAGGTGTACATCATAAGCGTACCACTCCGTTCGGAAACACCGGTGACCATTGGGACAATCACATATTTTAGTACGTTGCAAATGGTCCTTGTGTTTCCAAAAAGACTGGCACACAGTTCAGTATAGTGCAGTACCTTTCGAAATTGCTGTAGTCTATACCCGAGGGAAGACGCCCCGGCTCAGAAAATCTCTTCGAAAGTCGAGAACTTGCAGGCGCCCTGTCTCGGCCAGCGTTTCTTTCGGGATACCTCGCTTGAGCTATCCGTGATTTAACAAGATACGTTAATGGAACATATGAAACGAGTTTTTCCTCGTTTCCGAGATGCTCTTATATGTAGATGCCTGCGTACAGATTTACTTGTTTCGATGCCGGTCTCATCGAGCCCCCATATTTTCTTCGCGTCTCTCGTATGCACCTGCTGACAGGGCCGCAAGCCGTTCGCGCCGCAGCTCGCCCTTATGTCAAAGCTGTTGATGGGCGTGCAGAAAGGCGAGAACTGCCTGCTAGAGAGCCCGACAGGCACGGGGAAGACCCTGGCGTTGCTCTGCGCAGTTCTCGCGTGGCAGAGGCAGCAGAGGGAGCAAGGGGTTACGGTGGAGACGAGCGATTGCGAGAGCGAAGAGGAGCCGATGATCGACTTGGGCTCGCAAGAGCCCCTCCGGTCTTTCGACGACTTCCGGTACGTCGAGCCCAAAGTGCAGCAGCACGCTCCCATCAAACTAGCCTACGAGGATGCCGTCGAGCCAGGCAAGCAGGAGGAGCCGGTGGGAGACCGGACTAGCTTCTACGATGACTATGACGACGACGATGACGACGTGTTCGAAAGCCCCAAGAAGAAGCGCCAAAAGAACAAAGACGACGAAGAAATGATCGATTCCCCCGAAAGTAGTGATGGGCCACACCACGATTCCCACCAGGATTCTCCGGACAGCCCCGTCGCCGACGAGCCCGATCTCAGCAAACCTCCATCGGACGCGGTAACGCCCGCCGACGTGAAGCCCAAGAAGCGGGGCAAAGCGGTCAAAGCGGTCAAGCAGGAGGCGAGGAGGAAACGGGTGCCCCGGGTGTACTTCTGCTCGCGAACGCACTCGCAGCTGAATCAGGTGGTGGCGGAGCTGCGGACGTGCCGGACCGCCTTTCAGGACACCTCCGCGGTGGGCATCGGCGACGACGGGAAGCCTTTTAGCATGGCCTTGCTCGCTTCTCGCAAGAGCATGTGTATCAACAGCGAAGGTCAGCTGCCAGACGGGGATACTTGTTTTCTACGCCCCGCACACCTTGCCTGCTGTTTCGTGCCATTCCGTGTCGACGACCGTGTACCCTTCTAGAGGTTTAAAGAGGCTTGAAGCTGGTACAAAATATGGGACACCCGGAGAAGAGGAGGGAGCGACCCCACCGTCGAAGTTTCATATTATTGTTTTCATTGCTTTCTTCTAGCGAGATTCTCTCTGATAATTCGCTTTTGTTGTGCGTTCGTTTCGTTGGTGATACGGCCGGCGGCTCTTTGGCGCTGTGACTTCTACTTCTTCTGATTTGCGGGGCCCTTTTTGTTCTCTGTTCCGCCGCCATCCTCCCGGCAGCCTGCAACGACCCCAAGGGCATCGACGACGCTTGCAAGCGGCTGCTGAAGGAGAAGGCTTGCACCTACTACAGGTGCGCGAGTAAATAAGAGCTGGGAGTCACAGACGGGGAAAGAGAGAGAGAGAGAGAGAGAGAGAGAGAGAGAGAGAGAGAGGGATGGGTTCCGATCCTTGCTCGAAAGCTTGTGTGTGTTTGTGTTTCGTTGTCGAAAAGTTGTCGCCGGCGGTGACTTTTTGAGGGGGTTCCCAAACGCGTTCGCTGGAAGCTTCTCGACGACGTCGGCTACTGCAACTGGTGTTCTCATGGAAGACAACTAACTGGCAGATCAATGCCGGCGAAACTCCGCTGAACCTTCCTCCGTGTTTCTGGATCCGCTGCCAGACGAGCAAAGTGGGCGCAGGCCAAGCTTCCTCCTGTGTGGGACGTAGAGGAAGCTGTTCGCATGGGGCAGAAAAACCAAGCATGTCCCTACTACACGGCCCGAGCCTCTCTGGTCAACGCAGACTTGGTCCTTTGGTGGGTACCCGCGATTTTCTTATCTTATCCGTGTTGAAAGACATGCAATACAAGCTGGACGGTTGTGTTTTGTATCGGCTAACAAGTTATTAGCGCAGCAGTCGAACGAACGCCTATCTGCCTGACCCTCCAGCGGAAGGCTGGCTCCCCGTCGTTGCTGTACATGAGTTTTCGTCGTTGGTGTACAATTTCCTCCCATCAATGCTCTCTCCCACACTTGTGTGACGTGCCTCTTTCTCTTTGCCCGTGCCCCTGACGGCTCTGTGCGTTGCTTGGCAGCCCGTACAACTACCTGGTGGACCCAGGTGTCCGCGAGATCATGGGCATCGATCTCAAGAATGCGGTGGTGATATTCGACGAGGTATGAAACAGCCTGCGGCGTGTTTGCTCGCCGCAACAACAGTCCCAGCCTATTTCGTTTGCCCCAAGTCACTCGAAAAGCAAAAACTGTACCTGTGCGATGGTTGTACATCCTTCCGTCTCTTCTCGTTTGTGTTTTTCCTGTGCATGTTCCGGCATTCAATGTAGAGCCAACCCAAACCCACGCCGAGCGTGTTGTCCACAAAGTGTTTGCAATCTTTTTAATCCGAGAAATGGTTTTGATTTGGACACGGGTGTTTACGTATGCAGGCGCACAACCTGGAAGACTGCGCGAGAGAGGCCGCCAGCGCCAAGTTGTCGTTGCGTGCTCTCGCCAATGCGGCCGGCGAGATGCATCGGCTCGGGGCGAAATGTGAGCAATTCTTGTCTCACGACAGCAGTACAGCAATCGTTTCAGCTGCAGTACAGGGCTCTCAATAGCCGCCCCGCTTGTAGTACTGTAGCTATCCGACGAGGGCCGGTGTTTTCCGTTCGTGGGCTGGTATTTTGATGTGTCGGCTGGGACGTCCCCCTTGCAGGTTACTACAACAAAGGTGCCGCCGACTCCTACTGCGTGCACGCGCATGGGTACGCAGTGTTGATCAAACGCGTTTCGCGTGGTGCGAGTTTTTCGCCGGACCCAAGGCAGAACGATTCGCCCATACAATGTACCCGCAAAGCGCCGAAACCGTGCGAAGTGGGGAGTTTGTGGTACGTTTTATGCACCGCCTTCCAACAACGTGGAAGCTACACACCTTGTTCTGGTGACAGCCGATGCATACGGTCAGGTGCAATCTCGCTCTCGGTGGGAGTCAACCTCCCGTTCCAGGACCCGAATTTTCGGGATTGGATTCGCTCAACCCCGTTCCTGTATTCCCGTTCCTGTGGTACCTCTGTCGGTCCAGCTTTGGCCCTATCTCCCTCGTATGACCTACTGCGGGGAGTGATCATCGGGGTCCAATCCTTCCTCGAGGAAGAGGACACGCGTCTCACCATTGGCAGCTACGAAAAGGTGTCGTGGAGGATCGTGTGTTGTTGCATTTCCTGTGAGCGCGCGATTTCGGTGTGTATGCTGCCCAGCACGGCTGGCTGCTTCTGTTGCCACACTCGGACGGCTCGCGCTCATACCCACGTGTTCCGTGTTAGGCTAAAGGGGAATCCTTGAGACTGCCCAGTCAGCGGTGGCCGAGTAGTCTAAATGATTTATTGGGACATGTAAAGTGTGGTTCTCAAGGGGGCGTGTGGTCATCATGACGCATGTTGCGGCCGCACTTTTGCCCAGGCGCACAAGGTCTACAAGGGAGCAGAAGCTCTCGGGTTGATGCAGTCGAGGGCCGGGGTAACCTCAGAGTCCCTGGTGTACCTTAAAGAAGCTCTCAAGATGGTGATGAGCGAAGACGGGAACGCGGACCCATATGCCAGGGACCAGGTGACCAAAATGCGCAGGTTGCTGTGTGTCCTGGTGGGAGACCTGAGTGCAAGGTCGTGACTCGTGAAGTTTTTGCGTAAAATAATTTGACGACCCGTTCGTGATGGATGCAACAGATCAAAAGCGTTGATGTGCGTGCATCGTGCTCGTTCGCTGTTTACCCCTTCGAAGGGGTGCGTGCTCGTTACGGCACACGCGCCGATCGACATGTACTACTGCTGTAGGATTCAAACCACGGTGCCCCGTTCTGAAAGGGGTATTGTATGCACACAAGCATCCGATGATGATCAAACCCCTTAAGACTTGCGAATCCCCGCCTCCGGGTGCCGCCCTCTACAGGTCGACGGCGCTAGCTTCGGCCATGGGCACGGTGGGGACGAGGTGCTGAGCAGTGGGTCGGCCCACGTGACCGCCTCGCTCGTCAAGGTCCTGGGGTTCCTGCTGACCGAAGGCATGGAGAACGTCGACCACTACAAGATGGTGGTGCTGAGAGAGCGAGGGCCTTGGGAGCCGGTTTCCTCGAGGGGGAGGCGAGGGAGGAACCGGCTGGGGTCAGGGTCGATCACGGCGATGGAGACGTACCTCTGCTTCTGGTGCCAGAGCGCCAGCACGTGTTTCTCCGAGATCGACAAGCAAGTGCACTCCGTCGTCCTCACTTCCGGTGAGAGGGAAGGGAAGGGGGGAGTGGACGGAACTGCTTGTGTTGCGATGGATATGTACAGGGGCCGGCGAGCTATAAATTAAGCAATTAGACTAGTCAGACGTCGGGTCGGCTGACTAGTCTCATGGTTTGATTTCGTCTTTCACACGGTTTAAAAGCCAAGGGAAGACGTGGTGAGGCTGCAACCTCCGACCACCCTATGCATATGCATTTGAAGCGAGACACACATCCCACCCCTTGGAATGAGAGTTCGTCGTACCGCATACACACATACAAGGAAGGCTAGGCCATATTTTTTTGTAGTTGGGAACCGCTGCTGTTGCCCCCCACTCCCCCCCTCCCGTACCACGTCGCCCCCAGGAACCCTTAGCCCGATGAACTCCTTTGCGGGGGAGTTGGGCATTGAATTCCCTCACCGGCTGGAGGCGAACCACGTTATCAACGTCAAGAAGCAGTGCCTCGTGACCAGCGTTGGGTACTTCGGCAAAGTCAGTCTGGACGCAAGGTAATAAGGTTAGACGATGTAAGGTTGCAGCATGCGGCACGCAGGTTCAAGAGTGAGTGACAAGCACATAGCTTTAAGTTGGTATTTGGTGGTAGAGGCAAATCTGGCAAGGGGGTGCGAGAGGGGTAGCCAGAGAAAGACGACTGTCATGTTTGCACCGTCGTTATGACAGTCGGAACGCTCAGCTTTTCTTGTTCAAGGTTAGGATCAGCAGGTTGTTCCACATAACGAAGCGCTTGATTGGAGTCTTTCGAGAGCACGTGTTGCGTGGGTGGCTTTTGGGTCGTTTCAATCGAGAGGCTGCATGCTCATGTCCTCACGTCCGTCTACACTGTAGAGCTATGAGCAATGGTTTGATGTCGTACAGAGGGGTCCTCTCCCCGATTGTCTTGTGCGACAGCAGTAGCTCGCTCGCAACCTTGCACCCTTTTCTTGACCACCAGCACGAGAAACGAGGCAGGCGCGTCTCTGCCTTCGGTCCTCGTTAACAACCGCGTCGGGTAAAGAACGAGGCTTTAAAAAGTACCACCTTCTACTTTGCGCTCGTTTCGCTGTCTTGACGTCCTGCAGGTACACGAACCAGCACGACCTTAAGTACCAAGACGCTCTCGGCAACGCACTCCTCCAGCACGCCCGCATCGTCCCCGGGGGCATCCTGGTTTTCTTCCCGAGCTACGGGTTGATGGACAAGATGCACGACCGATGGGAGGTGGTTAGCACCGTTACAATCGTCTTGTCTGTGATGTTCAACACTAATGACCCTAACCCTAACCCTAGCCCTAACCCTACTGCTGTGTACCTTCCTCGTCCGATGATTCCGCCCAGATCCCCTTGACAGAGTTGGTCGCGGCACTTCGTTTTATCGCTACGGCACTTCGTTTTATCGCTCCTTATACTTTAGTATCACGAGGAGACCCTTTACCGCAAATGTCTCGCATGCGTGGGGGGCGATTAAAGAGGCAATCAGCCGGGCCCCCGAAGGGGATACAGGGTCGGGGCGATGCATCCCGAGGTAGTTACCCAGTTGTTTGAGAGGTCGCGATTCCTTTCGTACGGCGTAGTTTTTGCTTCATGTTGTTGGACTTGTTTCGTGCTTCGTCAGGTTACGGGCTTGCTGCAAGCTCTCCAAGAGATAAAGGGGATCTACTTGGAGCCGCGGGGGCAGGGGAAAATCGACGGCGTGCTGGCGGAGTACTACGTGAGCGTCGCGTCCTTGTCTGTTTTTTTTTCTTCCTCGCAGGACTTTGGGAAGAGAGCTACCTACTTGCATCGGGACTGATGACACCGCCGTATAGAATTTGCCCGTTCGCTGACAGGTATCTTTTCGAGTACGTGCACACCGCCTGGTGCCCATCTTACGCCAACGTCTCAGAGACATGATGGTGCGGTTGTTGGCCGGGTATATGCAAGAGTGTTGATGCGTGTCGTTCGGCCTTCCCGTGTTGTGTCCACCACGACAGGAGGACGTCGCGGCCGCCAGGGAGAATCAGTCATCGAAGGAGAATCAGTATCATTCGAGCACCCGGACTGGCGCGATGATGTTGGCGGTGGCCAGGGGCAAAGTGAGTTTGCCGATGCAGAAAAGATGTTGGGGGGCGCGGAGGACACGGCACGACACGACGCGTTCAGGCCTGCGCCGGTTGTCTTCGCTCACGTGTGGCACAGGCACCCTGGTCGCTTAGATGCGAGATGGTTCAGTCGGCGGTCGGCGAGCGAGCGGCTCGCTGCAGCGGGACTCGGTTCCACGACAGCGTGTACCCTGCAGGCACTTTTTTTCTTGAAGCTGACACCACGGCACACGTGGTCCACATGTACAATTTGTTTTACTACTGCCGTGCGTGGCGTGCTCTCCGTGAACACGTGCACGATCTCTGGACTCCCAATCGCGGCCCGCAGGTGTCAGAAGGCATCGACTTCAGTGACGATGCGGCTCGGATGTGTGTCATCGTAGGGATCCCTTATCCGAGCTCCAAAGACCTCCAGGTAGGGTGGGTTTTTGGGGGGACATGCGATACGTCCGTCCGTAGCTTGCTGCCTCACCGTAGAGAGGGGCGAATCCCAGCAGCCCGGCTGCACGGGAGCCGGAAAAGGGCAGTGTTATGGAACCCAACGCGTTCCGCGAAAGTGCTGCTTATCTACATGCGGGTCGGATGCCCGTCTGAGGGGGAGCCCGGTACGAAAGGAACGATTTCCTATCGTGACTGCGTCAACAACATGTCTGGCAGAGCGTATCTATTGTAGTTCAACCTACCACGCGAGCTTGAACTGCTGTGAGGGCGGTACTGGCAACTGAGGCGGTACTGGCAACAGCGCAACCTCAGCAGCATTCCGCCCGTACGGCTCGTCCAGCACTCCGCATACGCCTTAAGGAAACCGTACAACGCCTCGCGACCACCCAGGACGCATTGCCAGAGTTGGACGGTTCGCCCAGAACGGTCAAGATGTGCACCGCAGGTTACATAAATATCACACCTTTTGGACCGGTTTCCGACGCTCGATCAGTCCACGACGAAGAGCGTCTCTTCGCGTGTTGATTTTCGTCCGCGGGATACGTTTGTCGTGTTTCCTTCCCCCCCACAGGTGATGTTTGCCATCGGGGTTGGGTTTTCGTCGCCTGGCAACGACGTTGTAAAACAAGCCCCCCCATCGGTGTTTGCCATCGGGATTGGGTTTTTCGTCGCTTGGCAACGACGTTGTAAAACAAGCCAATTCACTTCTTGAACTCGGCAACCAGGTTACCGGTTTTTTTTTTACCTCTTTTTTTTTGGGCGGTAACCATTATGGTGGTCGGGTAGATCATGTTGTGCGGGGTGGAGAAGCCTCACTCCGCGCAAGGGGGATGATCGCACCACGTTGTGT